AAAGAATGGAAAGAGACATTAAGAGAGTTAAAAACAGAAACAACCCTTGGTATCTTAGGTATAAGCTATATACTAATCAAAAGAGCAAAAACAAAAACACAAGAAATCTTCAAAAGTTTTGCAGACCTATGCTTAGAAATAGGAGAAATTTCAATAAAGTAAAAAATAACACAAGTTTACTCGATACTAAAGAATATAGAGTGGAAATATAGTTTAAAAAACATCTACCTGATAGTACTAATCAAGACATTTAAAAAAGTTGTTACAAAGATGATAATGAAAAGACTTGTCAAAGTATTTAAGGAAAGAGAAATACTTAAAGAACCAAACTTTGCAGATCTTCTAGGAAACTCAACAGAGCAACCAATACAGCTTTTGAATATGATAATAGAGGAAGCAAAAGAAAAAAATAAAGAAATATGGATACTGCTACAGGATATGAAGAAGGCATTTGATTCAGTGCCTCTCGAAAGCCTTGAACTAGCATTACAAAAAATTAAAATACTCAGAAAAACAATTAAATATATATTAAAACTTTTTCAGAAGAGACAACTAAGAATAATTACAGTGTATAGTCTAATAAAAGAACTAATAACAGAAGATGAAATAGACCAAGATGAGGTAATCTTACCACTAATATGATGTCTTTTTTATAATCCATTACTAGAAAGAATCCAAGAAGATAAAGAGTTAGGATATACAGTTGAGCAACAAATACAAATAGGTATGCAATGCAACAACATTACAAGATATCATCAAGCAGCAATTACATATGCAGATAATACAACATGGATTGCAAACAGTAAAAAGCAACTATTAAGATCTTAGAAATAACTAAAGAGTTCTTTGAAATAAATGATATAAAGATAAATAGATCAAAGTCAAAATTAATAATAATGAATACAAAAATCAAAAAAGAGGAAAAGGCAGTAATATATGAGAAAAGCAAGATAATAGAAGAATCAAGACACAAAATAGTCTGCTCATTGAGAATATAGTTAAACAGCAAAATTGTAGAAGTGCAAGTAAAGAAGAAGGCAAAAGGGATAGTAAGCCAAACTATAAGAGATTTAAAGTATAAAAAAATAACAATGAGCCAAATTGTATATATAAACAATATGGTAATAATACCTAAACTAAGCTATATGTTATAGCTAACAAAACTGTCAGACAGAAGCCTAAACAAAATACATTAACCAATAATAAGTTTGGTGAAACAAAAAAGCAGCCTACAAAGAACAGTAGAAAACTGTATAATAGAGCACAAAGATCTCGGTAGTTGTAGAATATTATGACAAGAGTTAATTATGAAGCAAGTAAGCAGCCTTATAGTAAGGCTGAATAGACAAGACAGTCTTGAACAAGTAACAAAACTAAGAATAATACAAGATTATCAAAGAGCAGACTTAGCAAAAGATATATGGAAGACAAAAGAGTGATCAAAAATTAAAACATATTTGAAGAATAACTTAGCATGCCTTGTAATGCTTAAAGCAAAAAAGCTAAAAATAAATATTAGAACAGAAACTGAGATATAGACAATGCCCAGGCATAATACCAAAATACAAGAACTAGTAGATATATAATTGTAGAAAAAAAGAGATGGGGTCCTGTAGCCTAATGGTTTAGGCACCCCTCCCTCCACAGACAAGATCAACAGTTCAATTCCAGCTAGAAGCAACTTTGTAATCTACAGAAGCATATAATTGTATGCGAAGTCCTGTGGCTAAGTTCATATGATTAGAAGATCAGTATATAAGGAAGTTCCCGAAAAAAGATTCTTGATATAGAGAGTTGGCGCTCGATGCGAAAGAAGTAGTGAACATACCAGAAATGAAAAGAAGGTGCACTAGCAGGTGATATAGTAAACATAAAAGGAAACTATGGAAAAGGAATGAACTTACCGAAATTCAAACACTTCTGACATCAAACCAGTTCTAGTAGATACAGGATATACTAAAATTGGATAAATCTAAAGGGTAATCTTGGTACCATACTTAGTAAGTTTGCGTCGAGGGTAAATTCGAAAGAACTATGAATACTTAGTAACATCCAATGTGGTAGGACTTAGATATAAATAGTAATTAGATAGCCCTAACCTGTTCTGTCATAAACATGGTAGTATATATTGTGTATATATGCAATTAAGTATTAAAAATCAGAAAGTTTAAATAGGTGACTCACAGGCAGGTTTCAGGTATAGCATCTAGTGGGTAACCTATAGGCGGAATTCTTAATTAGATAATGACTAAAGTTATATGTGTGACTAGTTGTACTTTTGTTAATATACTCTGTATATAATATGTAATCTTATACTACTACTAATAAAAAGACACACAGGTGAGACTGCCCTTAAAAAAAAAAAAAAATTAATTGTAGAAAAAAAGAGTAGTTAAAGTAAATAAAGCTGGTCTAATATATCTAAATCAACTACTCGACATAAAGAGAGAAAAACTAATTATATAGTAGTAACTAAAAAGTTATCAAGACCAATTGAATAAAAGAAAAAAGACAGAATAGTTTAAGATAATTGAATTAAAAATGCTCAATAGCCTAGAAAATAGAGTAATATAAAGGTGCTTTAAGACTGATAAACAAAATACTCAACCAATACAAGTCAAATAGGAGCAGATATCAGAAGATAAAAGAAGAAAAGAATTGATAATATATGGTATATAAGATTACAGACAACTTGGAAAAATAGTTAAAAAGAAAAAGAAAAAAGTTTTAATTGAACATTGATAAATGAAATGCAAAGAGAATGAAATAGCAACCAAGATCAAAAGATGTGAAGGATATATAAGGAAAGAAGAACAAATAGAAAATAGTTGTCACCAATAGATAAGATTAAGTAAAAGTATTCATATAATTCCAGATAGATTAATAAATAAGAGTAGTAATCAAATTAAAATAATGATAGACCAAATAACAAATAAGACAAAAACAAGCAGATCCAAAAAAAATGAATGTGAATTAAGAAGCCTTATAATAATAGAGGAACTAAAGATAGAAATTATTAAATAACAAAAATTAGAAGAAAATATTAGTCAAGAAATAATAGAAGTCTTAAAAAGAAATATTATAAGAAACAAGAGCAAATATACAATATATACTAATGATGCAATGAATAAAAAAGACAGTAAAGAGCTAATGATTAAGAATAGTATGAGTATAAGATAGGTCCAAACAAATGAAACACAAGAATGGCCAGAAGAAGGATTAACACTTGGACTTGAATAATGACAAACATTAACAGTAGCAGAGTTGGTAGCAATTTGAACAGCAATCTTAATGATACCAAAAGAGAAACAAATTAAGATATACACTGATAGTAATGCTGCAATAAAAAACATTAGTAAGAGTCTAGAACAAGCTAACAGAAACAAGATTATTAAAAAGAAGAATGCGATATGGATATGAAGATTAAAGATCTTGTCAAAACAAAAAACATTCAGATAGATTTAGTTAAAGTTAAAAGTTATAGTAAAAATAGATAGAATAATAAGACTAATAGTTTAGTAAAGAAAGAAATAATGAGTAGGAAAATAATACAGACTAAAAAAGTTAGTTGTAAAGAGATAGAGTACTGCCTAGAGTGAAAAAACAGACTGACTAACATACTAACCAGACTGCTATGCAAGTTAGTAGAGAATACAAAAATAGAAGCAGAATGAAAAGAAACAAGAATAATTAAAAGTTTAAAGCCAGAAACAGAAACCATAATCTATGATTGGACTTATTTTTGAAAGAAACTAAAAACGATTAAAGAAATATACTGCATAACAAGAAGAAACAGTTCCAGAAGAAATACATTTATTAAGTACATAATAGATAAGTTTCCAACTTTAAAAGAACTCAACAGAAGAAGACCAGATATATACACAACAATGGAATGCCAAGTATGCCAAGATAAAGTAAAAAAAACACAAGCATACTTGGCAGTATGCAAAGGACAAAGAAGTCTCTAAAAAAGAATCCAAAAAGTGACTATTGTAACAGCATAGAAGAAATTAAAAGAAGAAGAAAAAACCTGGATTTTTTCATATATGTTATATATAACATTCTTTAGAAAAACAAAAATAAAAGAAATCAAAATGAGAGAAGTACTAATAAAAAGTCTAATTTCAAAAGAAACGTAAGACAAACTGATACAGCTCTTAAATTCAAAATCAAGATAGCAATTTGCAAATGCAGTAGCAATAACAACCTAGAACATATTTTATAAACAAATATAGAGAATATATTGCGAAAAAATTATTGAATAGGAGGAAAAAATTGAAATAATAAATAAAATTAAAAGAAAGAAAGGTGAAAAGCTAAAGGAATTAAGAAAACAAGAAAAGGTAAATCAAAGAAAAACAAAAAGAAAGAAAGAAGAAATAAGAAAAAAAGAAAAGCAAGTTGAGAAAAAAGTAATGAAAACAATATTGAAACTTGTTATAGAAAGAAGAAAACCCTTCCATTATAGACTTTAAGTAATCAGACAAGCAACTTACTTTTGCTCAAAATAATGTGACAAGTTGCACTTAGGTACCAGCAAAGTGACCAAATAATACTAGACTTAGATATTAGGATTATTTATATAGTTACAAATATAATTTCAAAAGCTTAATAAAGTACTAGTGTGACTGCTTATATGTCAAAAAAAAAAAAAAAATTTATAAATAGTATATTTTAATTTTATATGAAAGTTTCAAAATATTATATAAAACTATATAAAAATAATCTACATACCCTCTACCCTTAAATATAATCTTTAAAATATGTTTTTAAAACCATATTTTATAAACAAAGTATATCTCATATCATTAATAAATTATTATTTTATTTAAAAAATACTAAATACAATTTAATTTTCCAAGCAAATTTGCCTGGATTACAGTTTAAGGGATAGTAGTTTGTTTTTTTTTTTATGAACATAAAACATAATTTGAGAACACCAATTGCTATTATACTGTTCTCATGAGAACAGTATTTTAGTCTGAAATTTCGAACACTGACTACGACATGGGAATATCATCACCGTCATGAGAGGCAATGGTAGTTACAGACGGTGAAGGTGAACAAGGGATATCTGAAGTATTTGTAGAAATAAATGTTTGGACTGTTTCCTGTGCAAGCTTTTCGGGAGATGATATATTAAAGTTAGACAAAGAACTATTATACAACCCAATTGGCGCTCGACTGATAACCGATTCACTATTAGTATCTCCATCACTGGTTAGAAGATTTAATCGGTTTGAACTCGAGGAATCAGGACTAGATATAACCGGTATGCTTGGACTTGCTACAAATTCCATTTCATTTAGACCATTTCTTGATTGAGAAGATCGTCTGTAATATTTAGCATGGATAGTTTTTTGATTAGCATCCGAATATAAATGATGTAGTAATGGTTTATTTGCTCGAAGTCGTTTCAGCACAGGTTTCTTAATCTTTAAGAAAATGTGACTTTCATCGTGTTTGTTGATGGGATCTGCTTCGCAATTTCCACACAAATCAAAGTCAATGCAGTTACCACACTTATATCTAACACCACGAATTGCTTTTCCGCAAGCATCACATCTGATTCCAGGGTGGAATACAGAATTGGAAGGTTTGATTTCAGGTTCACCGGTTCTATGAATCGGTATAAAAGTGTGACCTGGATGTTGGGTTGGTGCAAGGGCAGCACAATCGTTACACAAATCAAAATCTGGGCAATTGATGCATTTATGGCGAATGCCCACGATTACTGACTTACAGTAATCACACATTGCATTATGATAATTTCTTCCTAACTTTCCGGAATTTGTGGATTCATAAGAAGTGGGAGGGTGAGGAATAGATAAGAAAGCATGATTGTCGTCGTGACGATGGATACTCTTAGATTTACTAACTTCTGTCATATTGTTTGGTTGGGTAACAAAATTCTGCGCTATGCTTGGGTTAGTACCAGAATGACTATAATTGGATAAATTAGGATATTCTTGATTGGTAGGAAAGGATGTTACTTCCAAGATTAGCCGGACAACAAAACGAGAACCTTCCTTAGAATGAGACTTAATGTGTTTTATAGCTTCTCGCAAATCAAAATCGTTATCGATGGCAATGATATCCTTTTTTTCATCCGTATAACGAATTTTAAAATCGTTAATCTTGAAAAGTAGTGATAGCTTTGAATATAATGCTTGGTAAGAGACATCCGCTATCTTTCTGAACGTAATGCGACGCAATACTGCGGGCTCATTGGAACAAGTTACCTTGAAGTTAACTAGAGTGTCGGACTCCATTTATAAATATTTGTCTTGATGTATATATGAAAAGAGAAAAGGAAATCAATAAAATACAACGGATAACCGAGTGTAATATTTACGTTTTTTCTTTTGAAAAGATTTCTGGCAGTGTGAAAGCTTAAAATTCTCCACTTTCACGAAAATGATCTTTATGTAACATAAACTTTCTCGTGATTGGTCGTCACATGAAATCGAATAACACGGTATTATTGGCTAATTATAAAGCATGTGACAATAACCCAATCAAATTACATCATATTAGTAAACTTAATTATTCTCACTTTAACAAAAGAATAAAGAAAAAAAATATGTATTTTTTAACCGAACTAATATAGTATTTGAGGATCTACCGTTTATTATACCCAAAATTCGTTATGATAAGAATCATTAGAGTAATCTCTATCAGGGTTGGGTAGCCTTCTATGTTCAACGGACACCTCAGGTAGTGATGCGAATGGCTCGACTCGGCTCATGGCTAACACTGATCAGTCTTTCAGCTCATCAAGCCAATCAACCTCAAGCTGAGTCAAGCCGTTACTCTAAGATATAGGCTTTCTTATAATTTCTCAACCTTACGAAATTGAATTTAAATAGTAAATTGTTTTTTTTACAAAAATATATAATATTGTACGGTAGAAGCTATTCACAGACCAAGCTTTAAGTACTACTCCATGTAATTATACTTCACTTAGATACAGTTTTAAAGTAGAAAATGGTAATGTGTAGCGATAGTAAACTATAACACTAGTTCCTAATTAATTTACAGAAATTTCGGATTATTTATATATAATTGAAACATTAGGTTTTTAAAAAGATGCTTGGGTAAAGCTTTATCCGAACAATTAAATAAATTGTCAATGTTATTGAAGTCACAATGCTAGGTGAGTTTATTATTGGTTAATAGTAATATAAAATAAACCTATCGGCTCGAAGCTCCACGGTCAGCTTCAAGCTTTGAGCCGAGCCATTTTAGAGCCGATGCATTATTAGAAGGCCTAGAGCATATAGGAAGACATTCTTGTAATTGGTCAATTTTTTTTTTTTTTTTTTTTTAATATTAATGGTGAGGCTATGCCTCTATCTTTATTGAATATTTAATTGAGATTTTACATAAAG